CAAAAAAAAAAAAAAAAAAGCTACTAATATATTTCCAACAAGACCTATTGTAATTTAATAAAAACAGATATATTCTTTTTAATGTCCCCATAAAATAAGTTAATACTAGTTAGAATCAAACATTACTTTCTATTTTCAAATACTGGGTATCAAACATGGCAGAAAAACAGGGCAACAGGTACCAAAGACCATATCCCAGAAACAGTGCGTACTTCATTAGGTGGTATAAGGATCTTAGTAAAATTTATGTACTGTCCTCTAAATTTTTCTAAGAAACAAAATTCATTATTCAGTTTCTACAGTTCTTTTACAATATCTGAAACACTGAAAAAGCTTGCCATCAGATTTAACTAAGACTCAATTCACTTCAGTGTGATTTCACCATTGTTTCTTCTACCTCATCCCCACGTATTTTAAAGATTTTATCATCCTAATATATTTCTCACCATGAAGGCACTGAGGTCACATTATGTAGACATTTTCCCTTCACTAATTCAACCTATAAGCCCTAAAGGAGGAAAAGGGAGGATTTCAACAGCACAGACACTATTCAAGGAAGTAAGCACACACCTTCCCCAGGGAGCGCCAAGCCTAGACCTGGGAAGGGAGCTGTCCAATTACCATGCTTCTCTCTTCCCTTGTGCATGCTGCCAAGCTCTGATCCTAGTGTTTATAAAGTACTTTTTGTGTAACAAAGCCCCTAAAGTAAGCCAACATGTAAATCTGGTGCTTAACTAAAGAAACTTATTTTTGGAGTTCCTGGAAAAAACTAGCTGTTTTGCAATGTTGTGAGATGCAACAAATGTATACCGAACTTAATCGCTTTAAGGGATTTGTAATGATAATTAATACTAAAGTCTCTTTCTTTTTTAAGTCACAGGTACTAACTTCACAACCTAACTCTAACACGCAGCTACAACATATGTGCATTTTATTTCAATATTATGTAAGAAAATGACACACTTTAAAGCAGGATGACTTCTTTCTAAAGCCACATTCATTAACACAATCCTCAAATTTTCAAAGGCAACTCCTCTATACTTCTTTTCAGTTACTTCTGAGTTTCCTAACTTGCATTTTCCCCCCTCTGTATTATCTGTCCCAATCTAACCCAACTTACAGAATCAGAACTAGAAGAAATTCAGAAGTCACACAATTTCTGCAAGCTCTTAAAGCTGGTGGCTAGAGAATTCCATTCAGTGAACTCCATATCACTATAAATCCCTCCCCCACTCTCCACTTACAAGAAATTTTTATAGAAAGGTAGAAATTCGATTGTACACAGAAGTTTTAAAAAGATTACTTTTGTAAACTGGTATGAAAATTCAGTGAACAAATCCACTGAGTAGTAAACTAAGCATGTCTGTGGTATTTAGAATCCTCAGTGGTGAGCTCTGAATCCCACTGAGAGTAGAACTGCTTTCTTTAGTATTTCTCAATGACTTCTGGAAGAATACCATAAAATCCGGCCTCTTCTTTATACAATTAATTTATAATTTATTATCTGATGTCTTATTTTCATAATCCGTATCCCTGATATTTTATATCTTAACATTTTCTTTAACAAATGCTGCATCAAACAAATTAAACACACTAGACAAGCCAGGTGTGGTGGCACACATCTATAATCTCAGCTACTTGGGAGGGTGAGTCAGGAGCATTACAAGTTTGAGGCCAGCCTGAATATCTTAGTATGACCCTGTCTCACAGAAAAATTAAAAAAGGTTGGGATATAGCTCAGTGATAGTGTGCTAGCTTGTCCAGCAGGTAAGAGGCCTTGAGTTCAATCCCAGTAAAACACACACCCTTCAGGGTGTATGTTGAAATTTGTTTTTAACAACAACCAAAAAAAGAAGAAAAAAACCCACCAAAAACAAAACTCACAGTAAAATGTAAAGTTTCTATTCAAAGTTTTCAACCTTTTTAAAAAAATAAAATAGATGAAATAATTTTTCATTCACAGGATGAGGTATAAAATTGAAAGGATTAGTAAGATTATTTGTCTAGTATCAGTGTAGATTGTGTCACAGATAAAATAAAGTTTCAGTCAATTTATAATTCCCCAGAGCCCACTTTTCATGGCATATACTATTTTATTTAAAAGATTAATACAGAAGGCCAGGGATTTAGCTCAGTGGTTTCGCCGCCTGCTGTGCAAGCCCAAGGACCCGAGTTCGATTCCCAGTACCAAAAAAAAAAAAAAGATTAATACAGAACAGCTAATAGGTTTTACATTGAGATTTTTTTAAAAAAACCTCTTAAATCTTTGAATTAAACTCATAAATCTAAGAATGTTTTAATAACCTTACCTGAAATGTAAATATTCTTTATGAAATTCTAAATACAAAGATTATCATTGATACATTCTGAGGAACCATTATGTCTTTGACTTGCTTAGTTACAACCCATCAGTGTGCGATGAACACTGTAGCTTCACAGTGAAACTGAGGAGGAAGGACTGTACTACAGTTGTGTACAACCTGTTTTACCTTTGAGAATCAAATGGAGGCAAAGCACTCTTCCCAGAAACTTCCACATGTGTACTCAAAATCTGAACACAACATTAAAGGGAAGGGTCATCCTGAGACCTATCACCTTCGGAGAAATAACTGCTGCCCCTAAACATATAAGAAGATATTCTTAGAACATAATACTTTGGTATTCATATGTCCTCCACTGAGACTAAGAAGAGGATCAGGCAGTTTGGACCCTGAAGATATGGATGAATGCCGCCTATAGTACCTCCTGTCGTTAACTGTTTCACACCCACAGTGGCCCGATAACTGCTGTTACTGCTCTGTAACCCTGAGACCCTAGAGCCTGTGCCACCTACCATGAGCTCCATCTCTTACCTAGACTCCCAAGCTGCTTTGATCTACTTCAGCCACTGCTAACAAGCCTGCCCTTCAATGCCTTCAAGCGACACAACTCTGGGCTTTACAGGCCAGATCATTCCAGCTTTAGCAAACATGTCTTTTCTAATTTGACTGTCTGGTTTGTGGATATTTTCAATGCTGACCTGCTGAAGTTCTCCAGCAATTACTTGTCAACAGATAACAAATCAGCTTACCATTCAAAGTATCTAATCCTAAAAATCAGAAGCAAAAATCATTTAGCTATACTTTTACCAAAGAGGAAAAGTCAGATTTATGCTGAAAAGCATTTTTTACGTGGAACTTAAAAAACAACAGGGTTTCATAGTCCTTCAGTTAAAAAAAAAATGCAAGGTTTCCCTAGGCACAGCATCTCCTACACCTTGTTAGGCTTCTTTTTCTGTATAAAAAAATTTAAAATGCATCAGCATTAAAAGACAAAGATTGCAGGCACTTAAAATCAACAGCAACGCTGTCTGCAAATAGTCTACTCTCAGTATTTCTACTCATGACTGTGATTCCGTAATAAGCACTTATAATCAATGCGACATAAATATAGTAGAAATCATTATTTATTCATTAGATAAAGCCTGGCTTTCAAGAATTGAAAGTTGTTTCAGTCACCTTCAACAGCTCCTTTTTTGCAACATAAAAAATATCTTCTATTGAAATCAGTGTATTAATAAAAAGTCTATTTAACATAGGTAAGCTAGTCTCCAATACAAACACTTGATTTCTTTGAAAACAAAGGAAATATAAGCAACTGTGTTTAATCTTTTCATTCATAATCCCAAATCATAGTGGACAAAAAGGTTCATAAATATGCAAATAGTAACTGATGTATTTCAATCAGATAAAAGCTGTTAACCAACAGTTAACTGGTTAAACCAGCAAAATCTGATTTCCCAAGGGTTACCTAAGCAGGCTCTTTCTTTCCTGGGCTGTCTCATGAAGCCAGACAATGCACAGTCCTAAGGAGGAGTCTATGCTGTAAGGAGCTTCCCTCTGGTCCTTCAATAATTAAATTTCCTGCAGGGTTACAAAGCAGGTCCATCTAACTGCATTCTGCCTAATTTTGCAAACTTATCAGACTGGTATTTCAGTAAGTTTACATGGTAAGTATACAATACTCCCTTGGAAAGAAATACATTTCCTGATTAACAACTGCTTCTTTACTTTTCCACAGTGGCTTGAATAATTGTGTTTAACCAAAAAGAGAGAAAAAAAGACAAGACAATACCATATGTTACCCTGTCAAACTGCATTATATGCAGAAGGTACCCTAAATCCCTGGAAGGCAGTCCTGCCAGCGTTTATCTTATGATAAAATCATCTATCTCATCTATGTAGTTGATTCTTCCAGCTGAAAACAGTTTCATCACCAACAAAATGAGTAGTGCAAAATTTCTTATACTGTACATCCCAAGACATCCCACTATGTGTAACGGAGTCAAAAACCAATCCAGTATGTATCTGTACTCAAGCAAAGGTTGTCATTCTGGAATTATTTTAATCAAGTCTGCTTTTTAAACACAAAGTTCTTTCACTGCATTGTTATTCATATAAAACCGAACAGCTCAAGCAGCTTCCTCCAGGCAAGGACTATAGATACCACGTTTGTCAAACCTGCCCCACCCCTTGGAAGAACAGATGCCAGGAACATTTTAACGCGCTCCCTCACGTAGTAAGTGCGGCAACGGCAACTTCAGACTGACGCCAGTAGCACATTTTCCAGTACAATTTTCTCAAGTGGACCGTGCATTATGCTCAATAACAAACGTCACCAAAGTTCAGGAGCAATGAAGAGAAGCAATGAGTAAGCACAGACCCCGTAAGATCACCCTCCCAACTCTCGCTTGCACACTTTCCACGTAAAGTCGGCAAATGCAAAGAATTCAGGAATCCCCCGCCTGCCACGGCCACGCAGTGAAGTCTGTAACGGGGAGACGCGAATCGCTCGCTACCTTCCGAAAACTCAGAGTAACAAAAGACGCGAGGGGCCGGGCTCGTTTCCCCAAAACTGTGTGCGACGCTCGGTTCGCAGGCCCACCCCTCCCCCAGCCCTCCCCCTCCCCCATCCGATCCCGGGAAATCCGGACTCGGACGCTCCCGGGATTCGCCGCTCACCGAGCTTTTCCACCAACTTCAGCATCACCCCGCCGATGTGCACCTCCCCGGTCACTCGCAGGGTGACATCGCGGTTCAGGTCCGTCACAAGGACGCTCAGTTCCCACGTCCCGTCCGCGTAGCAGCCATCTGGCATCCTTATCCCGTCCAGAGCCATGGCTCCTTCCTGCGAGCGCGGAGGAAATGGCTCTCGTCAGCGTCACTCCGCCGGAGCCGCGCGGGTCCCACACCGCTCGCCGCTCCGGCCGTGGCCGGGACGAGGCGGGGGCCCCCGGGGGCGTCCGGGGCCGACTCGGCTGGGACTGCGCCCCGGCCCCCGCCTAGCGGACCCCGGCTTCACCTGCTGCCCGCTCGGCCGCGCCCGCCTCCCCGCCTCCCTCCTCCCCGCCGCCCGCGCCCCTCGCCCCGCC